TAATTAAGAGGATAACAGAGGTCATGATGTTTAGTAAGAGACAACATTTTGGACTCTCTCATGTTAAGTTGGGGCTATAGTCCTTTAATTTTTTCAGATTTACATATGAAATAATTTAGCCTATAGAGACACTATTAAGCTGGTCATACAGTAGTAGGTTTTTGAACGAACATTTGTCCAAAAATTCTCATGAGTACATTTGATGGCATACACCTTTGAATTTTCTAATCACTGTGGTCCAATACAAACGTTGTTTTGACCCTGCTAACGATTAGAAAATTGAACTAATATTCTTAAATTGGAAACTTTCGAAGAAATTCTACTAATGCATAGTCATTGTCTGGACACCAAAAACTGACTTTGACTTTAACCTGTTGCAATACACTGTACAACAACTCTCAGACCGGGATATGAAGAGACTGTACTAGAGCAAATCATGTGTGCTGTATGAACAAGAGGAGAGAGCAGACATATCACTCTGACTGTTGTTGTTTATTCACTGTACAATCACAAAATGGAGTAGGTAGGTGACCTACCTGCATTGCTTTAAGTAGGCTAGGCTAATACATGTATAGTTTTATACAAACATTAATCATCAGTAAAGTGTAGTCACTCTGCAGATATTTAAACTGTTACAGTACCCTTTTTTCCAATGTTGAAGTAGGGGTCATGTGACCACTATCTTTCTCTTATACTGGAGGCTATAACAAAGGATGAGTCTTAGCACTGGGAAGATTTTCCAATACTTCCCGTCCCGAAAAAAGGGGACAGACACTCACAGTAAGATACAAGTAGTAGTTGTTAATTTGTTCCCATTGAGATCTTTGTTAGTAGTCAACGTATTTGAAGCACACTGAAATAGATGGCTACCTGATAAGACGATTGTCAGCAACTGGATACATTTCTTACTAGCAAGCTACTATAACCATAGATCTTCTATACCCTATCCAAATCTAAAGAGCAAAAAAAAAAAGAAAAAAAAAAAAGATTTGTCCTAAGTCGGGCTTTAAAGTAGAAGTATAGCCAAAGCTCTTTAGGCTGTACTTCTCATGTGGATCACAGAAGTGCAGTTCATTCTGCACTCATGTGACCTGTTTCCAGCTGACAGTGGGCTCAAGTGCGCTGTCGGCTGACATCACTCATCCGGTCCAGGCTGGAGAAAGATCACGACTTTAAAGTCGGGATTCATCCCAGAGTGTGGAGCGGCACCTGGCTAAGCTCATCTAAGAACTTGAGCCAGCCGTTCCCTCTCCCTCCATAGCCCAGTGCTCCAAAGAGTTTTGGGGGGGGGGGGGTGTTAGAGCAGTGAGCGGTGACTAACAATCACAGCTCTCTGCTCATAGTGGTGGAGAGAACTCAGCAATCAGTGGTCATGTGATCACGGAGTTCTCACACTTAGAGCTGGCAAAGAACAGATGCAGCATTGTGCTGATGCTTCATCCACCTAGGTAAATATAATTGGGGGGGGGGGAAGCAATCCCCCACTTCTCTTTTAAAGCGTTGTGTGGTTTTCTAGTGCTACTAAGTTCTGGGAAGTAGTATACCAGTTGAATGCATTGTTTCACATATTTGTGTACCTTTATTACAAATCTGGATGTGTCAAAAGCTGCATATGATTTCCTTACCACTACCCACAACTCTTTAACCTGAACTTGAGATGCAAAAACTTTCTTCCAAAAACAGTCTTCAATAGGAAAAATTGTATAAATCTAATTTATGTGCACCAAATGCATTTGCAGATCTAGGTATGATATCATCCCTATTTTGTACATGCCTGTGCAGTGAGCAGAGCTAAGGAATGAGCTCAGTGGACCCACCCACTATAGACCTGTCATCCTGCACAAGTAGAGAGAGCAGCAGTGATAGGTCTTTATTACAGGAAGCTCCAGCACAAAGGCAAAGTTTCATGCTGGATTACTGTACAGATATAGAATAACTACACAAAGTACACCAAGATTCAAGTAGTTAGACACATCTCTTGTATTTATACAACATTTGCTTATCCCAGAGTGCACAATTACTGGAATAATTTAGAGTAGACTAGTATTAAAATGATGCTACCATCTATTTATGGTGCTTTTTATATGTGCTTGGAGTTCTGCTTTAACCACTCGAGCTCCTGAATTTTTACCCACTTCATGACTGGACCATATTCAGCACTGCTCTACTTTAACTGGCAATTGCAGATCAGAACGCTGTACGCAAATAAAATTTATCTTATTTTTTTCACACAAATAGAGCATTCTTGTGGTGTTTGATAACCATTGGGTTTTTTAAATTTTTTACTATATAAACGAAAAAAGACCGAAAATTCAGAAAAATAAACAATATTTTCTACTTTGTTATATAACGTATCCAATAAAAAGAATTTAAAAAATCAAATGTCTTCATAAAGTTAGGCCAAAATGTGTTCTGCTACATGTCTTTGATTAATACACTGCTCAAAAAATTTAAGGAACACTGAAAACACATCTGGTCTCAATGGGGAAAAATATCATGCTGGATATGTATACTGATATGGGGTGGGTAATGTGTTAGGAACGTAAGGATGCTCCATCGTTTGATGTAAATGAAAATTATCAACCTACAGAGGACTGAATTCAAAGGTTCCCCCGAAAATCAAAGTGAAAAAATTATGCAGCAGGCTAGTCCATTTTGCTGAAATTTATTGCAGAAACTCAAAATGGTACTTCATAGTTTGTATGGCCCCCACGTGCTTGCATGCATGCATGACAACGTCAGGGCATGCTCCTAATGAGATGACGGATTGTGTCCTGGGGTATTTCCTCCAAGATCTGGGCCAGGGCATCACTGAGCTGGACAGTCTAAGGTGCAACCTGGCAGAGTCGGATGGACTGAAACATGATATTCCAGAGGTGTTCTATTGGACTTAGTTCAGGCGAGCTTGGGGGCCATTCAATGGTATCAATTCCTTCATCCTCTAGGAACTGCTGGCATACTCTTGCCACATGAGGCTGGACATTGCTGTGCACCAGGAAGAACCCAGGACCCACTGCACCAGCGTAGGGTCTGACAATGGGTCCAAGGATTTCGTCCTAATGGTAGTCAGGGTTCCATTGTCTAGCCTGTAGATGTCTGTGCGTCCCTCCATGGATATGTCTTCCCAGACCATCACTGGCCCACCACCAAAACAGTCATGCTGAGCAATGTTAGAGTCAGCATAACATTCTCCACGGCTTCTCCAGACCCTTTCACGTCTGTCACATGTGCTCAGGGTGAACCTGCTCTTATCTGTGAAAAGCACAGGGCGCCAGTGGCAGACCTGCCAATTCTGGTGTTCAATGGCAAATGCCAATTGAGCTCTATGGTGCCGGGCAATGAGCATAGGGCCCACTAGAGGATGTCGGGCCCTCAGGTCACCCTCATGAAGTCTATCTCTGATTGTTTAGACAGAGACATTCATACCAGTGGCCTGCTGGAGGTCATTTTGTAGGGCTCTGGCAGTGCTCATCCTGTTCCTCCAAAGGAGCAGATACCGGTCCTACTGATGGGTTAAGGACCTTCTACAGCCCTGTCCAGCTCTCCTAGAGTAACTGCCTGTCTCCTGGAATCTCCTCCATGCTCTTGAGACTGTACTGGGAGACACAACAAACCTTCTGGTAATGGCACATATTGATGTGTCATCCTGGAGGAGTTGGACTGCCTGTGCAACCTTTGTAGGATCCAGGTATCGCCTCATGCTACCAGTAATGACATTGACCCTAGCCAAATGCAAAACTAGTGAAAAAACAGTCGGAAAAGATAAGTAGGGGAAAAGAAATGTCAGTGGCCTCTACCTGTAAATCCATTCCTGTTTGGGGGGTCGTCTCAATGTTGCCCATCTAGTGCACCTATTGTAAATATAATTAACACAACAGCAGCTGAAACTGATTAACAACCCCCTCTGCTACTTAACTGACCAAATCCATATCCCAGGAGTTTAATTGGCTTGATGCTATACTCTGATTAAAAAAAGTGTAACTTTAATTTTTTTGAGCAGTGTATATTGATCAATTCTGATGTACCGACAACCTCATTTCTTGAGGCCCTTATAACACCAAGACACTATGAATACCCCCCCCCCCCCCCAAATGACCCCTTTTGGGCAGTCCAAGATATTTTTTAAGAAGCATGGCGAGTTTTTTTAAGTTGCTATTTTTGTCAAAATGTTTTTGGAAAATTAGGGGAAAAAAAAATCAGGATTTAAAAAAAAACAAAATTCACAATTTGTTTTTATTACATACTGTCACCAGCACAGTATATTTTCATCATATGACTGGTGTGGTGATAGTGATCAGGGACACTACCTGGTGACAGTATGTATAAAACTACATTTTTAAATTTTTTTTACTTCTATGTTTTTTTTACATACTTTCATCATAGTTCAGTGTCACCATAGTAACACTGTACCACACTGGGAAGGAGGCAGGTGATCAGGGATTTTTTACTGTTTGCTTGCTATTACAGTGAAAACCATTGTACCAGCAATGTTTTGAAATGTCACGAATGGGTTACATTCATGACAGCTGTGTCTACTAATGATCTGTGATTTGAGTGGCCTGGGGATCATGTGTTTGCATAGTGATCCCCAGGCTGCTCAAACCAGCCTGGTACCAAAAGCCACAATCCACTGTGTCCAGTGGACACGTCAGTTGCACGCGGAGGGTGCTGCCCGCTCAGCCAGCTCCTAAACCTGTGCAGGCTGGATCACGTACATGTACGTGATCCAGACCGCACGTGCTGCCTGCCCGCAGTAAATGTACTGTGGGCAGTCAGTAAGTTAAAGCGACATTAAACCTCCAGTTTTTTAAGCAAAATCAGCAGCTGATTTGTTCACTTACTAAGCATGCAGCTTCTTTATCTTTTAATCCATGGCTATGTTCAGTTTAAGCTGATGCCATGATATCTGCTGTAAGCAGGGGCGGACTGACCATTTGGAAACTCGGGCACTGCCTGAGGGCCCGGGGTCAGTAGGGGGCCCCATGAGATGTCCCTGGTACCTTTTTCATAGGCTTTTTTGAGTTTGGGCAAGGATACAGGGGCCCCATGATCCCCTATTGCCCGGGGGCCCCTGGCCATAGGTTTCCTGTTTCAAGGTGGCTCCTGTCTCTTACTTCACCTTCTGGTACCACCCTTGCATGCAGGGACTAGAGCTGTGTCTCCCTACACTGTGAGCATCAATATAAACACACATTCCCATAGCCTAGGATGACAAGATACCCCTTTGCTCCTCCCTCCTCTTCTCCAGGCTAGCAGACTGACTGGAGACTGTACTGCCCACTGTTAACTCTTTGCTGTGAAGACCGGAAGCTCAGGGAAGCAGCAGTGAGAAAATAGAAACCAGCAACCAGGTTGCAAACTGCAAGTGTTAGGGTAAAGATTTTAACAAATAGTTAACTGGGAAAGGTTTATTTTATTGTGTTCAATGTGTTAAACTATAAAATGCTGAGGACTAAGGGCTCTATCACATGAACGTTCCGATCAGGTCCACCTACCCATTTTTTAGGCGGACCTGATCGGAACATCCATTTTACTCTATGGAGTGGTGGGTATAAAAACTGGCATGTGTCTGTTTACACCCGCTGACATCCGATCCGCCAAAAAAGGGATGGATGGGGATCCAAGTCCGTTTTCATCTGACCGCCCATTGAGGAGAGAAAGCAACTCTGTGTCTGCTCTGCAGCAGCGGAGCGGACACAGAGCTGTCATCCATTTGCTCAGCGGGGATCTGTGGAGAGATCCCCTGGTGAGCTAGTGGATCCGCTAAATGGGTCCGCCCCATGTGAAAGGACCCTTACACCTGTTTCACACTGGTGTGGCTTTGAAATCTACTTTCAAAGCCGCCATTTGTGCGACTTCATATGCAGCTTGCCAACATCTGTGCGACTTCATTTATACAGATGTCAATGCAAGCCGCACATGAAATCACACAAAAATAGTGCAGGAACCTTTTTTAAAGTCAGTGGGATCTGAACGGTTCCATAGTGGAAAATAGAGTGTGACTTGTCATGCAATTTTGATCTGTCAAGTCGCATGACAAGTCACACTGGTGTGTAGTTAAAGCCTTGGTTCACATCTGTGCGGGTCGTGCCACTGCGGATCCGCTCACAAATCCGTGCTGCTGCACCACCCACACACACAGAAGAATGCGGACCCCCTGGGCGGGTGCCATTAATTCTAATGGCACTCTGCCCGCACTGGAAATCACAACCGCACTGGGAATCGAGGTTCCCGTGCAGGCTGCGTTTTCAGAAGAAGTGCAGGGACTTCTTCCCTGCGTGTCCTGAGGCACGGGAGTCCATTCAAATGAATGGGCTCTCGTGCCCGCGCAAACGCGGCCCGCAGGAACCGAATATGTGAACCAGGAGTTATACTACTTTAACCACTTCAAGTCCGAACACTTTTACCCCCTTCCTGTCCAGGCCAATTTTCAGCTTTCAGTGCTGTCACACTTTGAATGACAATTGGGTGGTCATGCGACACTGTACCCATATGAATTCTTTAGCTTTTTTTGAGACAGATAAAACTTTCTTTTGGTGGTATTTATTCACCACTGGGATTTTTTTTAGCTATATAAATGAAAAGTCCAAAAATTTTGAAAAAAAAGTGTTTTTCTTATAAAATTTTGCAAATAAATAATCTTTCTTCATAAATCTTGGCCAAATTTATTCAGTTATCTTTTTAGTAAAAAAAAAATAACCCAAATTAGTTTATAACCAAAAAAAATATTTTTTTTTACATTTTTTATATTGTTATTTGTTTTTTTTTTTTGTTAACATACTGTCACCCTAGCAGTACAGTGTCACCATACTACTTGTGGGGGGTGATGAAGATTTTTTTTTTTTTTTTTTTTTACATTGATTGCTTTTACACCCATAAAGGCTGTAAAAGCAATCATTTCTCCTTTCTCTGGCTACATTCCTGCAGCCATTGGGAAATACTGTGAGAGCTGTGATTGGTCACAGCTTGTCACATGGTACAAGGCTGTTGTGAATAGCCCTGTACCATGTGATCTCTGTGATCATTCACAGATGTCACACGTAGTAAGCAATGGTGTCAGAAGTGACATCTTGCTTACTACTCTTCATGTGATCACTGATTGGCCAATCAGTGATCACATGATCGGGACCTCACACAGAGGTCCCGTACAGCGATCGGTGTTCTGCTTTGTCCTTCGGACACAGCGGGCACCGGATCGCGGTGCTGAGCGCTCCCAGGGAGCACGCACAATTACAAAATGGTGGGCGACGTTAATGAACGGCAACCTGTCCCTGGACTGCTACCGTCCGTCCGGCCGTTTATATACATGGACCGGACAGGAAGGGGTTAAGGTGTAACCACAGCAGGTTATTACATGAAATGCTACATAAAACAAACCCGCATTTTCCTCTTTTTATCATACTGTTATCTTTCCTAAAACATACAGAAAAAAAGCTAAATGATGTTTTATTTACAGTACGCACAATGAACAGGCCTGCCTCTTTTTTTCTGGGATATGTGACTGACTACAATGTTTAAGATTACTAATTATTAATGGATGGCTGCGGAAGACGATCAGGACTGAATAAAACATGTAGATTAATAGGATCGGTGTTACCAAATCGGTTTTATTGCCATGCATGTTCCTGTAATGCAGACCACCGCGGACGTGTGTCATAGAGCAGAGCAATCAGAGAGTCTAAAAATGTCATTCTTGTTTTCTTCCACAGCTCTTTCATTCAGCAGTGTACATTGTGGCGCCCCAGAGCAGAGGTTGCTATGCAACAGTCATGTGACACGCCAGGGCACTGTTCCCATTACACAACACGAGAAAGTGAGATGGACGCCAAGAACAGAATTTGGTGTCTGTCCTTGGGGAGACAGTGAGCGTGAACACAAATTAAGCTATGGATGGTCCAGATCTGCAAATAAAACCCCTCTGTTTTCATACTTGCCTAAAATGTAAGATTCCATGTTAACAGACTGAATGGAAGATACCAAGTGAATGCTTCCAGTATTGATAGCTAGCTTTCCTTCACCGAACAGCCAAGGTTGGAAAATACTAATCAACCACAATCTTGTTAAATGGAACCCTTCACTTTGTTTGGAAGCTGAATTCCAGGCCCACAGCTAAATACACAAATGAAATACATATGTAAGAGCAGTTTTACCTCCTGAAGGATTTGCATTTCTATTTATCCAGTTCTGAGATTCACACAGCTCTGCCACACAGCTCATTTCTGCCTGGCAGGGGAGCAGATCTGACCTTTCTCTCCTGCCAATTCACTTTGCTTTACAGGTCTCCTTCCCACCATTGCACTTTGACTGGACAGTGAATGGAGGAGCAGCACAGTAATGATCAGCATGCTTCTTGTACTACAACATACTTAAATGGCTTCTACTGCACCTTCAAAATACATTCTATGATGTATTTATGGAGACAGAGCTTCATTTTGTGTGCCTTTCTTTTTGTCTGAAGTAAAACGATCACTTAATATTTTTATAAACCTTGTGTTCATGAGGCCTAAATAATTCGCTTGGACCAAGCTTATGCTATATACATTTAAAGTGTTACTAAACCCACAACAATAAAATCAGTCTATATATGCAGTAAAGCATGCTTGTTATACTCACTGTGGTGCCGCGGCATGTGTATACTCACGTACGGCTGCCTTTGCGGCATGTGTATACTCACGTACGACTGCCTTTGCGGCATGTGTATACTCACGTACGGCTGCCTTTGCGGCATGTGTATACCCGCATACGGCTGCCTTTGCGGCACGTGTATACCCGCGTATGGCTGCCTTTGCGGCATGTGCATACTCACGTACGGCTGCCTTTGCGGCATGTGCATACTCACGTACGGCTGCCTTTGCGGCATGTGCATACTCACGTACGGCTGCCTTTGCGGCATGTGCATACTCACGTACGGCTGCCTTTGCGGCATGTGTATACTCACGTACGGCTGCCTTTGCGGCATGTGTATACTCACGTACGGCTGCCTTTGCGGCATGTGTATACTCGTGTACGGCTGCCTTTGCGGCATGTGTATACTCGTGTACGGCTGCCTTTGTGGCATGTGTATACTCGTGTACGGCTGCCTTTGCGGTATGTGTATACTCGTGTACGGCTGCCTTTGTGGCATGTGTATACTCGTGTACGGCTGCCTTTGCGGCATGTGTATACTCGTGTACGGCTGCCTTTGCCGCATGCATGTGTATACTCGCGTACAACTGCTTTTGCGACATGTGTATATTCGCGTACAGTTGCCTTTGCCCCATGTGTATACTCACGAACGGCTGCCGTTGCCCCATGTGTATACTCACGAATGGCTGCCTTTGCCCCATGTGTATACTCGCATACGGCTGCCTTTGCCCCATGTGTATACTCGCATACGGCTGCCTTTGCCCCATGTGTATACTCGTGTGCGGCTGCCTTTGCAGCTTAGGAGGCCTTTGCAGTTTAATTGTAAGTGAATCCTAAATGGCACCAACGGATGTGTTACATGGAACACGTAAAACAAAATCAATATTAAATACCTTGATCTTGGACACAATCTATAATTAAAGGCCTAGATGAGAGAACTGTTATTGGATGATGAGGCACACTTGTTGGCTTGTGGGATGGTGAGGTCAATCAAAGCGACAGAGTGCATCCTGGGTTGGGGACATTACCGAACGAACAGAAACAGATTTGTGTAGTAACAAGGGGCCTGAAGTGGCCTGATGTGCTTACTAGTCTCTACCGAGCAGAATTTTGACTGTTCACTGAATGGTGCTCTGAGACAAAACAAAACCTATAAACTTTTTGTTTAATGCCTTTACCATTCTCTGTGTTTCCTATTCAGCACATCTCATGTCCCTGTGCTTCCTGACTCAGGAGCATGCTGTACCTGAAAATCTCTGTGTCTTCAGTCCCCAACTCATCAGCACACTGCCCCTAGAAAAACCTTCATTCCTGACTAAAGCTGGCCATACATGGGTCGAATTCTGAAAATTGTTTTCCAAAATCTTTTCTAAGAATTTTCGTTTGAATTTTGCACCATTAGTGGGTCACAGAAACTACCAATTTTCATGTGACCATCGAATTTGAG